ACGTTTTCTCTGCCAATTGACACTTAAAATGGAAAAAAGTAAATGTTCAACAGATCTTGATTTTCACATTTGTGTTAACATTTACATACATATCTAATACAACAGGCAAGTGTATTCAATGATCTGAATAAATAAAAATGTGAATTCTTGTTTTATGTCCAAAGGAATAAACTAGAGTAAAGAAATAGAATAAACTACAACATAGATTACCACTCAGTAGATCTGACTGAAATTAAATCAAGCCACACACACTAATAAATAACAGTAACACCAAAATAAGCCTGATTTTTAAAAATCTAAATCCATGAATTATCCCCTGGTAAAAAGGGGGAAATGTTCAAAAAACGCTTTATCTTGTAATGTTAAGTAAAAAAAAATCCTGGATCCCACGCCAAATTCTAATGTTTGCAATGTGGAAATCATTTGCAATGTGTGGACTGATTTGGTGAAGTTCAATGTGTTTGACTTCAGAGGATGTGTCTGTACCTGCTGTACGATGCATTCTGTTCTCCAAAGAGGTGATTGTGTTTCCAACACAAAAAAAGACTCAACAGTGATGTTCAATTGTTCTCTTCAGGGCTGGCTGTTAGCCAGTGGCTCCTTCATGACACATGGAGCTGGTACACTATCAGCTCCCCTCTTCTCTTCCTGTCTCCTTTCCTGGCGGTGACTGAAGCAAGTCACTCTAATGCAACAATGATGGTGATTTCACTCTGCTTATCGAAGCGAGTAAGTACTTAAGCAGCTGCTTGTACTTTGATCCAATTTACTTCCTGAATGTGTGCTTCCTCATGCACAGTAAACAGGCCTGCCTAAACTGTCATTAGTTCAAAGCCCAGGCAAATAGTTCACATGATTATTGTTTGCTCAGTTTTCTTGTTCTGCTTTGTTCAGTTACTCTGTTAACAGAAGTGGGTTAACTTAAGTGACAGGCCACCTCGATATGGCGCCGTATTTCAGGTATCAATTTGTATTTTATGGCAATGGATGTAATTCAATATTGCCAGCGGAGCTATGGGGGCTGAATGGGTAAGCCATAAGTTGAACAGTGCAACCTTTAACATCATTGTGTGCTTGACTCATCCCCAAGGACAGGACAGATAAAAGATGATCAGTAAGAAAATTGATAGCACTGATTTAATAAACATCCTCAAAATGATCCCTGTGACCTGCAGGTAGCGCGGCAGTCACTCGCACTTCTCCTGGGTTAAAGAATCAAGTGAGATGATTCATTTGAGTGACTGAGGTAGTTGAGTTTGATGGATCTTTCCTAAAAGCATCATTGCTAATCTGCGGCTCCTCTTTTTTAGGTTATTCACAGATCAGTGAGTTTTCCGGCTAATCCTGGACCTGACGCTGCTCTTGTCTGTGTACATGGTATTCATCATACTCTGACAGGGAGAGTCCTTCAGACGACAAATAACCTTCAGAGAGGGGAGGCAGGCAAGCAGTAGGTGTGCAGTTATTTTGGATACATTTCACAGTGGAGTGGGAAAGCTGCATGGGGAGATGTATGGTGTCCTTGTTGGGTGCGGAGAGATGGACCCTTCTCCGTTTCCTAGCATAATCATTCTGAGCCTCAGCCATGCCTTCGACAACTCAATCAGACAGCCCTCTACCTGTAAAGTGGCTGGGTTGATTTGATTGCCATTTTTATTGGATCCCGGTCACATAAATCAAACCAATGGGGACGGCTGTACAGACGTGACCACTCGTCATTCGCTAGTAGCCTTGGAAACATTGTTTCGGGGGCCGCGTGGCTGTCATCGGAGGTAAATCAGGGGTCTGAAGTTTCTTCCCTCCAACACAGGAGCATGGAGTTAAATCATCTTGAAAATTGATGTCGCTGTGCCCAAGTGTTTTCACCTATCCCTTGGATAGAGTCTCATCAACTGGTGACAATGTCAGCACTTTTACCCTTCACTCAAAAAAGGATGCTTCCTGTCCTCAGGCCTACGAGCCTGTTGTTTCTGATAAGAGCTGTTAAAGCGTTGACCTTTTTAGTTACAGATTTTTGTCTGCTCGTTTGAAATTTACTATCACGAACAAAAAAACTAGAAACTTTTAAGTTAAATGGGCAAATATGCAACAAAGTTTAGGTCATTTTTTTTGCCGATTTCTGATTAACATCCTTAGCTACTTTTATATTATGGGCGTTATGTATCCTGGAAGATAAAGTAGGTCTCCTCTCTACGTAGCGAGCTCCTGTCTTTGAAACTTAATACATTGTTCCTCGCTAAGCACTGTCTGGTGAGCTTTTTGATTCAGTGTGAACTGATTAAGTCTATCATGTCCACCAGCGCTTACAGTGGGAACATATTAGATTAAATACAGGTAGCTAATTTCCTCCTCTGCATGGGTGAGTGGGAGTATGAATGAAAGTGATGTAAAATTAATTTAAACCTCTAAAATTTTGATCACGCCTAGGCTATTTTGGTTCTCATGATGACAAGTAATAGGACGTTGTTGCTTTCTAACCTCGCAATATTACCGTGTTTGCCTATAGGGCTTTCAGGATCAATTTCATTCAGCATAAATATCACTTGATCTGTAAAACAAATTAGAAATAATAAAAGCCATATAAATGCACCCATGCTCTATTGAGATGTCCCTCCAAGCTATGTGTCAAGACTGAAGACATTAATGATACACGGAGGAGAGAAAATTACCATCTAGGATACGTCCGAACCAGTAAACTAGTAAACAAGCTGGCCGTTAGGAGAGGGGATGATTTGAATCAACAAGGGTGAACAGATATGGATACTCTGCGCATTAGTGTTAATAGGAATAGATTATGGAGGGATTTCGTGGAGTGACCTTCAGTGCACTAATTGAAATAGTATTCCGAGTCAGCAGTGGAGTAATCAACTTAAACACAGAATCATAAATCATCATGAATAGCGCTGTCACAACCAAGCCATTAGCCCCGTGTTTTTTCCCCAGCAACCTCATGAAAATATCTGCCACACCGATCCGTAGGTTAATAGGAACAGAAATGGCATTTAGAGTCTATTTGGATCAAATGTACTGTGAGCTTGAAAGTAGAACTTTGCTAATTTGCAGGTAATATGAATTGATGTAGTAAGGGTTGAGGATAGTTCAGGCAACAAGTCAACATAATAATTCTGTGGAGGGGGAAGAAAAAAAAAACTGCCAGAGCTTGATAAAGCCTTGATCATAACAGGGCTTTGTGACAAGTCTTCTCTCAATATGACCAAGAGGCCCAGTAGTGGCTAGATATGTTATCAGGCAGGGGTTAGGTAATAATGTTGGCTGACTGTGACCTTTGTCTTTTGTAATTAATTATGGCTGACAAAACACAATAAATTGTGGGACCTTAGAGCCACGCTTGCTCTCTCCAAGAATGTGCAGGGAGCAACTTGAGGGATCATTGCACAATCCACAACAACACTGCGTTTGTGTGCGATACTGCAGGTTGTTAGTGACTATTTATTAGGTCTAATCCATATAATGCAAGTTACTTATTATCACCTAATGACACGTTTATTTCAAGTATCGATGCAGAGTGCTTTGTCAAAGTTTACTACATCTATATTAATATCAACAAGTGCCCCCGTGGTAAATAGCTTTTTAATTGCAACTAAAATGACCGAATTAGATACTAAACAGTCGGTTAGCGTCAGTAAAACGTCTTTCACACAACAATACCCAGCAAACTTGTCAGAAATGCTGATAAGAGGGCCGATCCTGAGCGCTTACACGGCATTAATCAAATAGCAGGTCTAATTAAAAGCGCTTTAAACAAAGCTTTTTTTCTAAATGTTGCTCAGGTATGGCAATAATTTTTGATCAGTCAAGCCTGGAAGACAAATAATTAGAACTGCCACAGCGGCCTGATGAGTGATGTCAGCATCTCCGAGTGACCTTCCCCTGCTAATTAATTTTCATTCCAGGGAAAAAAGACCCCGTTGTTGCACATTATTAATTGAGTTCATGAAAAGATGCACCTGATTAATTTTTGTTGATAATACTTGTCATTCTGGCTGCCGTTCGTAATCATTTTATGGGTTTTCATCTTAGTGTTTTTCAAAGTTGATCTAAGTCATCTTTGTAGGAGATTAATTTGTCCAAAGTAGAGCTGCCCTGTCCCAACGCAGAGCCAGGCTTCAGTCTGTCTCACTTAGACGCCTGCTTAACACACGGTTTGTCCACAGCACCATTTATTTTGACTTATTTACCCTAAGACATTTATAGTGGGCACATTGTGAGAGTAAGTGAGGATAATCAACCTTTACAATTAATAATTAACTTTTATTACCAAGCCATGCTATGAATGTATAAAAACACCACTGCAATAATAAATATAAGTTTATGTGTTTTCTAAAATGAAATTAAGGCATCTCATAAAAACCTTATCTGTAACTAATCCACAAGGCCATTGCTGGATATTTTATGTATATATTACTTTATATTATCTATATTAATATGTTATGTATTCTGCTACAGTAGAAAACTTAACATGCTATTGCTGACACTATGTGCATAGTATTATTACAGGTGACGATAGCTGATGCAGCTCCCAAAGCCTTATGGAAAAGTTATGGAGCAATCGCCATGACACCAAAAACATCCGACATTATCAACTAACTCAAGACCCAGGATTGTCGCTGGGTCGAGTTTCAGGTGTCGCTTGGAGGAAAATCTGAGCTCTTTAATAATTCAGAATTCAAAATGAAACAACATGAACTGTTATTATTCCTTGTCACTGTATTTATGTATTAGTATTTTGTGAAATATAATCTGGTGTCAGAGTAGACGTGTACCCAGACAGTAAACCGCAATGTCGAAAAAAAATGTGCAAGTAGACAGGAAATACAATCCAAGAGGCCTGGTTTGAATATAACAGTAGATCAATGTGTTTGAAGGCTTATCAGATGGAAAACACTGCAGTGGTTTATAATACTGTGTGAATGGATTTTACTACTTGATCCCAAGGTAAACTTTAGAATAACCCCATGTTCAAAGTAAGTGTGCCTCACGTTTTCTCCGCTGTGCCAACACAGTGGCCTCATTCTGGCTGCTGATATGATGGAGCTCAGGAGGAAGCCAGCACCATGTGAAACTGATGTGCCGCTGCAGTCCACACATCTTTTTCCTGAAGCCCGGCAGCGGTCTCTGTCATTTGTCATAGAGGTGGCAAAGATTGTTCAGGAAACATTAAATGTGTATGTCAGTTAGAGTTGAGGTTAAATAGCTGTACTAAATACAGTATGACATCTGCTTTCTAATGTAAAAAGTTATAAACTTTATAATAGACTTTAAATATTAACTACTTTTTATTTGAAGATATAGATGTAGTGTGCCAACATGTATACCAACATAATGGAGATGATTGTCACCCAATAACTTTCCTGCAGACAAACTTTAAACAATAAAGTCCGTCACTTCCCACCTGTGATGTTTTGAAGATGATGGCCAAGTCGTGTTACCTCATGCAGTGAAAATTGGGGTGAATCACCCAATAAAGTATCATGAGCCATAAAGGTGAATCAACACCTCGCTGACAAAATCTCAATTACTCAAGTTTGACAACTTAATGAACTTTAAGACGTGTGGGTGCCCTTGCCTAATAAAGTATTAGGAGGATTAGCCCTGTCACAAACGATTAGATTAGCTTCACCCACCAAAATATATTTGCAACATATTATCTTTTGTCTCGGAGTAAGCTAGCAGCTAACTTAGGCCTTTGGTCAACATTAAACATTTGCATTGTTTTTTATTCCATCTCTGTGTTTTGGTGGCAGCTGTAGTGGCCAAGCTTTGATTTAACACAAGCTACGATCTGTAAACTAACAGTTAATGGCCACTATGAAAGTATGGATGGGTTGTTTTAATTAATAAAACTGGGATTTCCTTACCGTGTATTTGCGTGCAGCTGGAACTTCTCAGAGCCAGCTGGTTCCTTAATGAAAGGCCTGCTTGTTAGCAGGACGTCCATCACCACAGTGGTGAAAAGAAAGAAAAGGAACAACAACTATAGAGCTGATCAAAAATGATCAAACAGGAGAATTAAGAATTTAGTTTTGCTTGTTAATTAGTTTGTTTATTTCCAGGTAACAAACACATACTGTCCTGCGTTTGTTTGTGTTTGTCAGTATTTTAGGTGACAGTTAACAAACCACCATCATTTAACTACAACAGACAAGTATGTTTAGTTAGTATTTAATGGTCCAGTTTTTATTAGTTCATCTCTGTTTGTTTGTAACTCACCTTTCCCACCATGTGTTGCAGGAACCAAAGCAGGAAGTGGCTGAGCACTTCCTGTATTCATACCTCTGGTGACATCAGCAGTGATGTCACTAGGGGGAGGTGTAGTAGGTTTTGGAAATTGTCATTTGCTTTATTTCAGTACATAGGGTATCTCAAGCTGCCAAATGTAGGATTGATATTGACAATAAGAGTAAGAATAATTACAAATTAGTATTTTTGGCAAAAAGTTGAATCTGTTTCTTCCCCAAGACAAACGACAGACCTCTCACAGACCTTGAGCTCACATGAAGTCATAGAGGATATTACTTTTTCTTTGTAGACTACGAATAACACTTTGACCTAATGGTGAAAACAAAACCATAACATGTTCCCTTTCCACTTTAAATCATCGTGGGTCCTCTCACATGCTGCTTTTAGGAAGATAATCACTGATGATCAGGGGAAACATTTGGGCTTTCCTCAGTCTGCAGTGAGTCTGGAGCCGCAGGAGTCTGCAGGTTGGAGGCTTGTTACTGAAAGGTTGCGGCTTCAGTTCGCTGGACTGGGGAAATGTGTGTGGGAGGATTGGATGAACAGTGCTTCCTCAACTTTTATGGCTTAGTTCATCATGATGATGAGAATTTTATGTTCATCCTTTGCAATTTGATAAATCACCCCAAAAAACCATCTTTAATTTCTCTCTGCGTTTAGGGTGATCATTCGTAAAAACATCAGCATTTGTGAAATTGTGTATTTTATACTATAGTTGTAGGGATTTCTCATTCATCATGTTGCTATGTCGTAGACTTCTGAAATAGAAACCTCAACAATGTATTGCATTCTTTTTTTTTCAGCCTAATGGAAAATACCTTCACTACCATAAAAGCCTGCTATTGTACGATAAGCTGACAAACGTAGAGAGGCCTCTGAAAATCCATTTAGAATTAATAATACCAAAACCAGCCTTGTTAATGAAAAAGTGTAATTTATCTGAAGAGGCTCGGAGTCATCTTTGAAATGCAAGATGTCACTGAGCTGGTATAAATGTAGGCTTTAATGGATACATCGACGGAGCCCCGGTATTGTTCTTGACAGTCGAAAATGATGTGAATGGCTTTGCTTGTCATTGTTGTGAAACTATTAATAGATCTGTAATTATGGTGGGCAAATTGTTGATTTTTTTTCTTCCTCTGTGGTATTTGATATGCTCAGCACAATGAGGAGATGAATTAGGACTAATAAACAGGTCTCATGATTCTGTCTCTAATTGGAGGATCATTATATCTCTTCCAGAGAGATGCCCACAGCTAAAGCCTCTAACAGCACTATTTCAAACAGGACACAAAGGCCTTAATGAATACTCTTGTGACTTCGCACCATCCCTCACAAAGGGAGGCACATATTCTGTTTTTATCTTACACATAGTTTCCTGTAATTGTTGGATTGAGGCGCAAGATCAACCCTGCTTCCCTCGGAAATCACAATAATTATACCGAGCTTGTATTTAGGTTAAAGAGCCAAAGGATCATTTGAAAATGTGTTTGCAACTAGAGCGGAGCCAGGCATCATATTATATTTATCTAACAGGAACAATACAGGGTTGTGTGAATGGGTGGGCGGTGAATATTTAAAAATCTGATATTGCTGTGGTTTGGTGTCAAGTGTTTTACAATGTCCTTACATGCGTACTTTTGCATTACCATTACGACACAATAACGGAAATATGGAGGGGAAATGTAATGCACGCTCAGGGAATGAGTTGAAATCTCTGGGTGCCATTTGCTCCCATCAGTGCAGCTGATAGAGTCATTAGAGAGCTGCCGCGGTTCAGCTCTGGGGCCTCTCTCCTGTAAATGGCCCTGTTGGATGGGTGAACAACCTTCGTGTGGCTCTGTGGCCTCCGAGCACTTCACTAAAGCTAATAGGTCATAGCTGCGGAGACGGGTGACAAAAGCACGAGTGTTAACAATGGATAATGTGAGAATGGATTGCAGTTATCTGGAGCTTTCACTGCCGCGCGATTTGAAGTGTTTGACATCGCATCGAGTGAATTGGAGTCACATTGTTTTTCTCTGACTGCAATGACAGCAAGATTTTTTTTTTTTTTTTTTACATTACACATATGACCTCCCTTCCAACAGAGGAGCTTCTTCTTTATCTATTAGTGACTAACGTGATCACCCTTGGACGGCAGGAAAACCAAAAGTGCTGAAATCGTCTAAATGATGAGCTGAAGGATCTGTGGGTTTTTGCATATCACACTTCCTCTACGGCTTTAAGAAAAAGGGTGAAAGAGGTCAGCCCAATATGCATATAATTTGGGGTTACATTCAAAGTTTGGGTTTTAAGCTTCTTGATGAAAGACAGCTATGAATAAATGTAATCTTTTCTCTCAAATTTGGTCATTTGCTGAGGGCTGGGAAAAAAAAGTCTTTGTATGCGCTTTTGCTATTAATATTCCTTATTACTGTTCCTTGAGATTCATTGTCCTCCTAAAACACCCAAATAGTTGAGCAATGTCACTGATTTCTGATATTTATTTTCACTAAATGTTTCACCATCCAAAATACACTGATCAAAAGTCAATATCGTCTCCGTCCAATTTATTCCCGTAGTCCATCAGGATGAGGGAACAGAAAAAGTTTAAGCCACACTGGAGAGGAACTTATTTGTTGAGCAAGGGAAAATACAACGAGACGAGGGCAGACTGTCAAAGGACTGAACGCCATTCATCTGCTAACCTGTTCAAGGTGTGCCTGGTTGATGTCCTCCTCCTTTGTTGGGGAACATATGTCCACAGCAGCTGTGCCATCGTGAATAGGCAGTGATTGTATGCTAGCTAACTGCATTCCTGGGAGCCAGGCCAAGTCTGAGTGGAGTGAGCTGCCCCATTTTTTGATACGAGTCTCCTGCATTCCACCTGATTTACATGTCTCTTTTTCCACCGAACCGGCAGCCATTCACACGGGCCGGAATAGCACCCAACTTAGAAGATCAGATTGTTCTTACCCCGGAGATGCTGGAGAGGTGATCCTGAGACGTGTTTTAGATTAAGTGCCACCTGAGCAGATGTGTAACGGACTTCCCCAGTGACACAGTTTACAGGAGCTACATCACAGGTTCCAGTGGCGTGACTCTCGCTCTAATGCTTAATGATGGAAGTTTCATGCAAGCTAAATTGTACAGTCAGTCATTTCTGATTGGGGTACATGAAATGACAGAAATGTCTTTAGTGACCTTTTTTTAATTATGAATATTTTTCAAAATTACAAATAAACAACTAAATATCAGAAAGAGAAATAAAAAAAGCAACAATAATGTCTCTGTCCCTTTACCTTCATTCATGCTAGCTGCTCAGTGCTGAACCCAACACGCAATATCAACATGCTAACATGTGCACAATGCTAATGTGCTTATATTTAGCAAATACACTCTTTACCATGTTCACCATCTTAGTTTGATACATTATGCTAACGCGCTAATTAAAAGAAATGCTTCTCAGGCTGATGTAATCTCGTTTCTGAATTTTGTCAGATAAGATACAAACTTCAAGGCAAAAATTACTGCACATTTCCTCTGTATTAGATTTCATGTTAATCAGTGCAAAACTGTGAATTTCAATATTTCAAGGTTTTTTTTTGTCCTTTCCATTAATTAAGTTCAGATACATCTTGGTTACAAGTTGGTTGTTTAATTTCTATGCATTTAAAAGCAGCGAGTGAACACTTGGGCAGGTTATCATTAAATAAAGCAGGTGACCTGAGATTGTTGCATGGAAATAATCAGAGCTCTGCGACGCCAAGTGCTGCATCCTTGTAATTACTATTTTCAAATATAGCACTCATCCTCTCTACAATAAACTAAAACCCCTGGAATTGTTATCAGACACTTGCACAGGAAGACGGGGCCTGTTAAGGTAATCTAAATGTTAACATTAAAAAGGCAATTGCGAAATGGAAATCTCATTTCTGCTTCCGGGCCGATGTCTGATCACCAACAAACAATAGACATCTGCAATATTTCTCCGTCCTGTCACCGACCTCCATCCCACAAGGAGCAAGGTCAACAGAAGAGCTCCAAATGGGATGGCGATCCCAAAATAACCAATCCCAAGCACCAACAACCCCCCCACCTCTCCCTTAAACAACACAATCGCACAATCAAAGCCGTGCTGCCGTTCCCTCATTGTTTAATTTCTCCTGGCTATCTTAGATATCTCTGCGGCTGTTCTTATCTTTGACCTTCAGCTTGTTGCTTTGTCGTCAGCCCCCCCCACCGCCAAACCCCCCCCCCCACCTACCTGCTCCCACCCTCACGCCAGTGTGCTGCGACCTTCAGAGGGGTGTCATTACTCCCTGACCCATTTGACGATCCCCTCATGTGGAATGTGCATATGCCGAATCGCTGCGGATCTGCACAGTATGGGGTGAGGTGAAGTACTTACAGAAATATGACTTGACACGCTTTATCAAATGGGGAAAGATGAAGACGAAACAGCTGCTGGTGCTGTCGTAAGCAATCTGGCCGTGATTGAATAAAAGTGTCAGGAAAAGGGCCGCTTGATGGTCTTTTGTTCTCCCCCATCCAGCTTGATGTTAGTTTGAGCTGTCAGGAGGGAATCACAGCTGGGTGATTTATCAATACTTGGAGTGACCTTGCAGCCACACTTCTGCGTGCATGCATGTGTGTGTGCACATGTGCGCGCGTGGGTGTTTGTGCACACACTCTGTATCTGTGTGTGGCTCTCGTGGATTAAAAAGACACAAAGTGGAATATTTTCAAAATAGTTGGCACACAGAGACAAAGACTTGGCTCGACTTGGAACAGAATTCTCTCTTCTCTTAGACACAGTAAGTGGATTGTTCTGCCAACACGATAACGGTATTTTTCTCAACATCAGAGCGCTCAAAGTAGCACCAGCAAATGTTTGGGAGAAGTGCGCCTCTTTTAACTAAGTCTGCTTTTGAACAGGTTTTTTTTTTTTTCCCTAAAACTCTTTACTATTTTTTTCCTAACCTGTCCAGACCGCCTCTTCACCTC